ATGCTGCCCTCAATCAAGGTACCTCACTGGGGCTGTGGTGGGGGGAGAGAAGGGATGCGGTAAAGGAGATGGTGGAAAAAAACCAAAACAACAAAGTGCCAGAGGAGACCTTCTTTGGTGGGGAGAAGACAAGAGGTAGTTTATGATCTCAGTCTTGACTTCCCCATCTCTACACAGAGCTGGCCCAGAAATGCCAAGAACATTTACGACACACAGTCAAATATGGAGGTCGCCAGCACCTGCCCACCATAGGCGAGATGAAAGCCTTTCTGGTACTTGGGCTGGGAGGGAGATCATTTTGCGTGTCCTCTGTGGGAGAGGAAGGGGCCTAGGGTCACTGTCCCTGTAGGTTTGCCTAATCACTGCTATTTGTCTCACTCTGTAATTTTCCTTGGCAGAAGGGGCAGACAATCCGACCAGTGTCGCTCCACCTGCCTGGAGGTATGGAATACAAGACTGTCATCCAGACCTTTACAGTGAGTCCCAGGAAGTTAGCAATGGAAATTGTGGGGAGTGGAGCCCTTTCCCCTCTTCACTTATGACCTCACCCACACACTAGGTGGTGGCAGAAGTGCTGGAGGAGACATGTAGACAGATGGGCATCAGAGAGCCCTTGGAGATGCAAGAGTTTGCCATCCTCCTCTTCAAGGGAAAAGGTGAGGCGGGGACAAGTCCTTCTCAAGGGAGATCTGGAGGTGACATGGAAGGAGCAGCAAAAGGGTGCCTTTGTGTGGATGCTGGGAAGACTCGATCCCAAGCTTTAAGCAAGGGGAGCGGTAGCTTTGAGATGAGCGCTGCACTGTTTGCATGAAGGGCTCTGGCAGAGGAAGGCCAGGCTGTGAGCATCTCTGGACCATCTTTGGCAGGTGTGCTGGTGAGGCCTCTGTACCGCAACGAGTACCTCAACAATGTGATGCGGGAAACTGATGTGGAGTTGCATAGCCGCCGGCTCACCTGGGACACCCCACTGCATTACGATAACGAAGTCTATATCAGCACACACTACAGCCAGGTCAGCCCCTGGCCCGATCCTAAGGCAAACCCACCTCTGGTCCTCCCTGAGCCAGGGGGAAATGGATGGCGAGGGAGGAGTAGGGATGGATGAGAACTGGAAGGAGAGGTAAAGGGATGAGTTTGGGTGCCAGGAAGTCATGAGGAGCGGGTGCTTCGGGATCTGGCTCTTCCTCATTTACCCTATCCCCTCAGGTACATCGGGATTACTTGCAGGGAAAGCTGCTGATTCACACCCAATCCCAAGCTGAAGCTGTACTAGCTCCTTTGGCGGCCCTGCAGCACCTGAGCAGAGAGATCGGCTACCCGCCTTCTGAGTAGGAGCCCCAAAGTGCAAGGGGTGGGCCTATTTCCAGCAGGGGTGCCATACCCAATGCCAGCCTCTCCTTCCATACTCTATGAGTCCACCTTTCCCATCACTTATCTTTAAGCCTCCCGTCTCGTCTGCTCCATGCCCTCCAACACTTTAAGGTCTAGACATATTTGGTCTGGTATTCAGGCAGGGCCGGTCTCAACACCCACATGTCTCTTAGGCAGGATCTGCTGAGATACGTCCCACAGCCACTACAGCAGCAGGTAAATTTGAAGATCTTGGGGAATTTGGTGAAGAGCCAGTTGGCCTTGAAGAGATACAGCCGCAGAGCAGCACATATCAACTTCATTGGTGAGCTACCTTCTTTGGGGGGGATGCCAATAAACAGTAGGGGTTTCAAGAAGGAATGGGAACAGGATGGTGCTAGCGATGAACAGGCTGAGGGAACTGTGGAGGAACCCACCAGATTCACCTCGGTTCTTCCCCTCATCCTATACTTGGCCCTGCTTACAAGTCTGCTGGGATAGACTATGGGTTCCTAGTCACCCACTCTCCCCACCCAATGATATTCTCTACCCATCCTACCACATGGGCCCAGGGGTCATATTCTGGCTCACAAACTCTTTCAAAGCAATTTTCCTTCTATGCTCTTTATCCTCAGGCTCCATTGCAAGTAGGTGGAGCAGGCATCAGCAATGTTTGAACAGTGATACAATTCACTGACATGTTCGTTAATCCCCCATCCTTGTTGTTTGCCTACAGAGGCTATGAAACACCTTCCTCTCTTTGGATATATTGTGTATGGCATACTGCGGACGAGTGAGCCTATGATAGTCACCCCCTGCTTGCTGGGCCTCAACCACCAACACCTCATCTTGGTGGATCCTAGTTCTCAGGTGGGTCTGATTCTCCTTCCCTTCCCACCCCCAAATTTTCTCAGGTCTTCCCTCACATCACCCATAAAACTGCCCTCCACTCCTGGGCTCTTGCCTGTCAAATCCTTCTTCATCTTGCTACCCTGATCTCCACAAAGATCTAGAGAATAACAGCTCTTCCTGGCCTGCCATGCCATTCCCAGAGTGAATCACTCCTTCTTCCCCACGTCCTCCCCCCACCACAGGAACAATGCTACTCCATCCCTCTGAAGGACGTACAGAAACTACGTCAGCTCAGTCCCCTGGACAATACCCCAGGGTTGGAGCTGTACTATGGGTCTTCTGCCAGCCCCCAAACCATCTGGTTCGAGTTGCCCCAGGTGAGAGCCCTCTGATAGTCATCCTGCTGTCAGGAGGACAGCGAACAAGTCAATGATCCATCTCCACCCTCAGCCCAGACCCACCCAGAAGCGAGCCCCCACTAACATCCACTTTGCTCTGACAGGCCCAGGAGTTACGGCACACCCTCATCTTCTTAATGGAGCACAGTACCTCTACTTAGCCTGGCCCAGTTCATTCCAAGTTGAAAGGGGTAGGAGTGGGGAGACAAGGACTGTCTCCTCACCGCTCCTCCACACTCCTGCCCTCAGCAATCTCCTCTTACTGGCGAGCTGACACTTCTTGGTGTTCCAGCCCCTGCTCTAAGCTGAGGCAGAAGAGAACGGCCTAGGCATGAGGATGACACCTTCCTCGGTGGCTGGGGCTGAGCTGCAGGCAGGAATTGAGCCGCATGTGTTCAGCTCAAGCAGCTAAATCCTGTACGCTCTTTGTGCCATCAGGGAGCAGGACCTACTTCCCATTCATCCTCACCCAGGTCCAGCCCCAGGCCTGGTGTGGACAGATGCACAGAAAATAAAACCTCAAACAATCAAGGTGTCTTGTCAATATGAATGAGAGGAGTAGAACCAAGAACAGCCTGGAGTCTGGGGAACAGAACTGAGCCTGATCAGAATAAAGACTTTTATTCCAGTTTGTAAACATTGGCCATCCTGGCCCTAGCGGATGGGTCTGGGACAAGTATGGCTTCTGAGAAGTCCCAGGGTCTCATACATGTACCCTGGAGGCCAAGTTGGTAGATACAGCTTCAGAGGGAGGTGGAGGATATGAACGTAAGAATGTGGGAACACCAGACAGTGATACCACCAACATATTAAAAAGTGCAGAGCAGAGGCACCCTCCAAATTCCTTCCTCCTCCCGCAGGAAGCCCTCAGAGATAGCCCCATCTTCCAGGGAGTCAACCAATAAAGCCCAGCCACAAGAATGAGGAAGCAGCAATTACGTATGAGGCCTGCAGCTTTATGGAGGGTATGGGCTGAGCTCTAGCCCTGACCCTGAGCGATGGAGGTATTCATGACAGCCCCCCTGGAAGAAGGGCAAGCTCTTCCCTAGCAGCAGTAGCTGCAGCAGGATTCCCATCCTGATTCTGCCCCCAACCCCAATTCTCCAAAGCCATGAGCCCATGGCACACAGCTAGTGTCCCTTAAGCTGGCCTGGCATGGGGCTGAAGTAAAGTCACTGGAGGCTTCTCAGGGCAGGAGCCAGGAAATGGCCTGTGCTCTCAGCAGACACTGTGACATCTCCAGTGCTACACTAGTCCTCTCCTCCTCCCCAACATCAGTTATCTCTGACCTGGGTCAGGCAGGTTCAGCCAGTCACTTTCGTTTTCACACCTGGCCCTGCTTTGAAAAAACTGCTTGATGAGCTTCTGGGCCTCTTCTTTCACTGCAAATAGGAGTAAGGAAAAGGCCCTGTTGCCTTCCCTCAAGGCGCTTCCCCTTAGTTTCCCCCAAAGCAAGGTCCAGGGCACTCACCACTCCCCCATGGAGGTGTCTTCTGGGCCAGCAAGTGCGAAAGGTGACGGGCAAACCCCTTAAATAATTCCTGGGAAGTCCGAACACAGAGAAGAAGGTGGTAAGCTTTGTTATCTCCCCAAACCACTTAGCAACTCCTCCTCTGGGGACAGCTCCCTGCATTTAGCCTGGTATGAGGGACAGACCTCAAGGAAGAGTAGCATCCCTTGCCATCCTTGACAATAATATTAATAATGCTAACTACCATGAGCAGGGGGAAGCTGCTCTACCCTCAGTGGCTGACTATTCCCCATCTCCCTGTGCCTCTTGGTCCTAACCCCCAAGTGCTAAAAGGCAATTGAGAATGGGTACTGGGGTAGGAAGGGGCTTACATACCCTACCTTGGAAGCAAACTTGCCATCCTTGTAGAAAGGGGTTAGGTACTTGACTACAATGTCTGCAGCCTCCTTCAGAGAGACACCAGGGGTCTTTGGTCTTGGGTCTAGAAGCCGATTAGGGCCTTGGTTCTCTATACTCTGGTCAAAACTCACTTCTTTTTGGGAAGGGCTGCTGACCTTGGCCTCCGGTGGTATCGAGATGGAGGGTTTGGATGTGGGGCGAGGCCTCTTCTGAGTCTGGTCCTCTGGAATCCCCTGGGCATAACCACAGTGGACTTGTCAACTCTAGGTTCCATTTCCTCACCAGCTAAGAATTAGACCTGAGCTAAGCTTTGCCTTGCTCCTCCAGGGCAGAAGCACAACCAGCTTGGCGGGCCTTAAATTAATTCTAAAGAGTTCAAGCAGACCCATCAAAGACCCTCCAGCAAACTTCTAGCTTGGAATCAAGCGGCAGCTGATCCCTCCCCCCATTCTCCCTGCCTCAGCCTGTCTTTGGTAGAAGAGACTGAGTTCTAGAAAGATACCTGATGGGATCTGGACCGTTTCCGTGGCTGTGTGTCCTCTGGGGGGAAGGGCTGGACTTCAGATTTGACCTTGATACTGTGTGGGGAGGATGGGAAGAAGAAAGTAGGTGTCTTGGTCCTTTCTAGAAGTTCCTCCCTAAACCTCAGCAGCCTCGGTTTAGGGCTAGGTGAAAGTTGCCCTCTCATCCCACCCACTCGAGTAGTTCAAACCCAATCACCGTGAGTAGCTTCCTCTGCTCTTCACTCCTGCTCAGGAAGCGATGCTGAGTCTACTCTTAGTGTTTTTTGGAGGTCTCTAACCCCAGCCTTTGCTGTCCTGAGCCTGCTCACCTCGATTCCAGCCCTTCAGCGGTCTCCGCCCGGCTCAGGGCAGACAAATGCCTTAGGGCTCTGTCCTCCTCCATTATACTCTTTCCCAGGGCTAACTCCGGTTCTTGAGTCCCTTCAGGAGAGGCACCCAAGTCCACTGTTCGCAAGGATGATGGGCCAGGTAGGGGTGGACTCTTTGCCGTCTGGTGGGAGAAGAAGCGGGTAATCTCCTGAGAATTCTTTGCTGCCTTGGCCAGCAACTGCTGCTTCTTGCTGGCCTGAGACTTCATGACAGGCTGTTCCCCAGGGAATCTTTCAGCCTTCTTTTCAGGCAATGGTCCACTTCTCTCAAGGCCTCCTCCAAGAACTCTCTGCTCTGGGAGGGGGTGTGCCTTCTTTTCAGGCTGTGAGGGATCTCTTGGGCCAGCCTGCTCTCTTCCTTCTGGCCTAACAGGTGGCACCTGCTCCTCAGCCAAGGACCTCTGCCAGAGCTCAGCTGCTGTCTGGAAGGGCTCGGAGACTGTCCGGAAGCCAGCTCCTTTCCGCTTAGGTTTGAACTATGTAAAAAAAAATGATGGAGGTGTCTGACCAGATTCCCACCCAACTGCTAGCTGGCCCTACCTGCCTCGGCCCTGTCAGGCTTTTCCCTTCTAGGGGAGAAGGAAACAATATAGAAGGAGGAAGGAAAGAAGGCATCTCTGTGCCATTTCAGAAGCAGAGGCAGTACCTCTTGGAGGAATGGAATCCTTTCCTTACCAGGGCCCAAGAAATTAGGGTTAGAATGTCCCAAGGAGGCAGCTCAGAAGCTGATAAATAAGGTACCTCAGGATGCCTCAACTGAGAATGGGTGATGTCAGGAGAAGGGGATGAATTTTTTCCTTTGTTAGCAAAGCATATGCTGAGAGGTCCTATGGACAAGTCTGTTTCTGGCTTAACACTGTGAAGCCTATGAAAACCAGACATGGCCCCCTTTGCACCTCATTCCCTGCCCCCCCACCCCACTCACTGAATACACTTGAGAGGCTGGTCGGATGTCTTCTTCAGGCAGCACAGCCTGGGCCCTGCAGTTCTGGTCACCACCATCCCCAAAAGGGTAGAGTTTCCCATCATTGGAGGCTTTGTGGATCTCTGCCACCTTGGGGTCAAGAAAGCAGAGCTGAGTAGAGAACACCACAAACCAATCCAATCCTCTTCTTGCAATCAAGGGGCCAAAAAACCCCAGCAGATCTCTCAAGATGCCATCTGGTGAAAAGAGTGGTCTACTTGGGCATTCTGCTCAAGCCCTGGTGCTCACAAGGCAGAGGTGATGTCAGCTGGGAAGAATTAAAGGACAGAGGCCACCTTGTGAGGAAAGGGATCCATCTGTCTGGGGGTCAGGGACCTCGAAGGGAGGCCCAGACCTAAACCAGATATTCTTCCTCTTTCCCAGGGTCCCATTCCCTTCCCTGAAGTGCCTACCTTTTTCAACACACTGGCCTTGTACAGATTGGCCATCTTGGTACTTCGGAATGCCTCATACTCCAGCTCCACTGCACGGGCCTGCTGGTCAATCCTGTGTGTGTGTATGTGTGTGTGGACACGTTAGGGAGGGTTGTGGCCAGCTCCCAAGTCCCCTTATAGCATAAATCCTGTTGGAACACTACCCCAGGACTATGACCAGGAGAGGTCTCTATACAGGCCCCCTCCATCCTGAGCCACGCCCTGCATATGTGTGCAGTAGAGGGTCACTGCTAGTCCTTGAACTTCCTCTATAGACGGCCACTACTGGGTTGTCTATGGGTGAGGTCTCTAAGAGGCCCCCAGGCAAGTGTGGACCAAAGCAGGAGAGGGACAGAGGATGAAGCAAATGTTCTGAATATGGGCTGAGTGAGTCTGGTATCTGGGACAGGCCAAAGGGGCAGGTGAGAACGGGAGATCCCAGGGAGGGCCCCCAGGAGTCTGGGTGTCCTCTGCTTCCTCTCTCTACTCACAGGGCTGGCTCTTTCAAGTAGCCCAACTTTAGTCAAGGCCTCCCCCTAGTGGAGCAATTGGGAAATAAACTTTACTTAGGACATTTTTCACAACTCGGTGGAGGTGGAGACAGCTTCACGGATTGGTGGCTGAGGAATCTGAGCCTGATATGAATGGCTTATTGGGGAGAGAACATGGTTAGGTCCCTGGATACCTCAGACTCAACATTTTTGAACATAAGGCTTTCCTACCCTAACCTCCCTACAAGCTGAATATAAAGCACTACAGGAATAGTACAGGTGGTTATTACTCTTATTGTCATGAACCCTACCTCTCTGCAGTGCAAACTGTTTGTACGTTGTTGCTCAGGGCCTCCTCCAACATCTTCAAACAGTGTTCCCGAGCCTGATACCCAGGAACCAGGGGAAAAGGAGAGTCAGACAACTCCAGGCAGGTGGGCACGGGAGCCCAGAAAGGGCCAGAGGTCAGAGGGGCAGGCATATTTCCTTACCTTCACAGTAAGCCGGGGAATCTTCCTGCTGGAGGCCTCCTTCAGGGGACAGTTATCATCTGGAGAAGGAATGGATGGGTCTGGAGGAAAGAGGCTCTCTTATCACTAACCATGACCCAAGCCCTGTGGTTCCTGGTTCTTCACAGCCTCTCCCCTGAGTTCCCTACTTACCCAGCTCTGAGGCCACTCATACACCCACCTGGGAGGATGAATTCCTCTTTCTTGGGTTCTTTACCCTATGGAAAGACATGGTGAGCAGATCAAGCCCTCCTATACCCTTAGCCTACAAGGGGCAGCTCCTAACCCAGGGACTGAAGAAGGGATGGGAGGTCAGAAGGGCAAGAGGTTTCTCTTCTGGCTAAAGGGCATGCCCTGGGTGACTCAACCCT